TAATACGCAATTATCCAGGAAGTACTAGAATTTATTGCTGATACTAATCATGTTTTGTATTGGGAAGTTTGATATTTGAAAGTGTAGTTCCTCGGGCGTGTAGTAGACGAGCATAAACGTACTGTCACATGTTTTTCGTCGTAGCCTTGTCTTTTCGTCTTAACCGTCGCAGTCCGCTTCATTGAATGTTTAGTTTGATAATTGATAAACATATATTCAGTGTGACACTGTTGCTTTCACGTTGTGTTAATGCAAAGATGATTTAAACTTGTCCTTTCCGTTGTCAACGTATTCAATATACGGAAATAGCATGTGTGGACGTTTGCGTGAATGATAGATGCAGGTGAGATTTCTCGTCGCAGCGCGTTCTATTTATTTCCAACGCGCGTGGTCGGCGCCTTTGATTGCGTTTATTTTGTTCTTTCATTCGCAAAATCTATCGCTGGCACCGTTTATTCTGTCGTGTCTCACAACTGAATGTCCAAGCTGACTTTGTTTTGGCTGTACCTAAATTTTTGCAACTCAAAGTTACGTCCCGTTCTTTGTCCACGGAATGATACGTAACAATATTTGTATTGCTCTTAAGAAATATATATACGAGAACATTTTCTTTGGTGGTAGTATTAGTCTTCCACTTTATTATTCTGGGTATAGGCAGAAAATTCTGTTTTCTACAGTTTCTAAAATTTATTCGTATACCGCTAGATCGTTGAGCTACATGCATATATTAACTTGGAAGGATTACCATTTTAAGTATATTTTTGGATTTCCTAGGTTCTTGTCGAAAAACATAGAACATTTTCTAGGGGCATTTGAAATTAAAAATTGTCATTCAGCTTAACAGCCAATCAGCGGCGGCCTACAGTTAGTTTACAATTTCGTATCAAATACCCCGTGTTCTAGACATGTAATAATAATTACAATTTATTGCGTTTGTATCCCTATTAGGATTTTGACTAAAATGCAATACAGATGTGAATAAAGACAAACAAACAATTAAATTTAGAATAAAAATACACACAGGAAAATACAAAATGGCAAGCAAATAAAAGTAGGGAACAATCTGGTACGAATTATTTGATAAAATTTACCAAGAGTACGTCCAGTCGCCTTTATTATATTTGAGCATAAATCCCGTCAACGACTGTTCCAATTAAAATATTTTGCCATTATTCCACATGCCCCTAAATTAATTGCCCCTCGTGGTTCTATGTTCTTCGTGTGCAAGGGGTTTTCCACACAAAAACGGCCGAATTTTGTTAGCGGTTGGCTTAATATTACCCCCAACGGATCGTTTTGCTGTGAAAGATTGGTATTTTTCCCTGATTTATAGGAATCTGAAAAACGCGTTTCACAACTTGTCTCTTTATTTAGTTTCATGCGGTATACAAGATGGCGGCCTCATATAGTAAATATCGCATTTATTTTATTATCACTTGTGCGCCAGCTGACTGTGTGTGTAGCTTTGTTTATTAATAAGTACCGGTGACCTGTGGATCTGGGCAACTGTCAATTATGTACTTCCAAACTGGCTGCGATTCTGAGAATATTGAAGGCAGAAAGACTGACAAATCTGTGTTTTGTTTATATTACATCCATTTCGTTTGAGCTAGCCAACATGTGGCCATAATTATATTACATACATGTGGTTTCAACAAATTAAAACAATATTTGGATCTTTGTAACCCTTTTTTAGAGAAATTCATCCAAACTGTAACATTGTCCTCTATGGAGTTCTACTAGTAATTATTAGTAGTATTACTTGAACGGTAGTTCATCAATTCCCCAGGAAAAAAAATGACGGGAAGGAAGACAGTGTTGTACTGCGCCCTCGCCGACTAGAATGCAAGTTACTTGAGTGTGTCGTCGAGGGCGCAATACTCGCGTCAACCAGAGCCGTCAGAGAACCAGCCCCAATGTCACCATGAGGGGCAATGAATTCAGAGGCGTCTGGAAATAATGGCAAAATATTTTAATTGGAACAGTCGTTGACAGGGATTTTATGCTCAAATATAATAAAGGCGACTGAGTGTACTCTTGGTAAATTTTATCAAACAATTCGTACCAGTGTGACAGATTGGATATTGATATTATCACGCAATATTCTCTGATATTATCTTTTTGAAAGTCTGGAGAGAAAAGGTGTTAATTAGTTCTAGCCAAGAAGTAGAGTCGCTGTATATATTTCTTAGTCTGTCACCCAGAAACTGTAATAAATATGATATCATGGGTCACAAATGTTGATATTCTTCATAACATTTATAACAGGCAAAGGCCCACGCTAGTATTTAATATTTATATTTAAAACTCAGCAAGTTCCTTCAAAAAAGAGAGTGTGAACAGTTTTATTTGAGTAATTTCTTCAAAGGACTTCAAATGGTCAACACTTAATTTGCGTCAAAAAAATTTGCTCACCGTTTACGAACTTAAAGGGATTGTTTATCTGATTTTGTGAGCAAAATTTGCTGACTTGAAAAATTTAACTTACCGAATTTTGCTCAAGAAATGTTGCTTACTAATATTTGTTCAACCATTTTCGTCAACATAAACTAACATCACATCTGTGAATTGCGTGTGCGGGTTCGAGGCCATGTTTACCCAAATATACTACATTTTCTAGTGCCTTTGGTTTACGGTTACAGCGACACATTTACTATATTATCACACAATTTTGAGGTAACTGTATTATTCTTTACAATATCTCCGTTGGCAATGGATTTTTAAGTGCGTTGGGAAAAAAAAAAACGTTCAGCAGTGTCTCTAGATTGCTAACTTTGCTGGTCATTAAACCCCGTCGCATTGTTAATAATAGGCAAGTGATACAGTGAGGGTAAACCAACCACGTACGTTCAAGTTGTCAAGATGAGGTTGGGAGAAATAAAAACGGCGATGACAGCATATTCGCCAAACCCTGTAATAACATCTAACAAGCAGCCTGTCGGCTGAGATAGCTCCGCTGTTAGCAATGTACATTTCAATTACGGGGGTAAAGAACAAAAGATATCATTAGAAAATGAACAATATGTATAGTATCAAAGCAATGGGACTTGCTGTTTTCAACAAGAAGTCGAAAATATCATATCACTTTTCACCAAAAATGACAAAAATAATCATAAAAATTGGATAATTAAAGATATCATTATGAAATGAACAAATCTGAGAGAGGTCCACGTGTAGTACCTATATATGTAATATCGGAGCAATTGGACTTGCTTTTTTTAACAAGAAGTCGAAAATATCACTTTTTACCAAAAATTGCAAAAATATTCACCAAAATTAGAGAATTAAAGATATCATCACGAAATGAACAAATCTGAGAGAGGACCACATGTAGTACCTATATATGTAATATCAAAGCAATCGGACTTGCGGTTTTTAATAAGAAGTAGAAAATATCACTTTTTACCAAAAATTGTAAAAATATTTACCAAAATTTGAGATTTTGACATGAAATGAACAAATCTGAGAAAGAACCGTCCAAGGTACTCGCATATCAAATTTGAAAACAAGAAGAAGTTGAAATTGTAAAGTTGACGACGACGACGACGGACGACGACGGACAAGCAGTAATATGACAGCGGAGATAAAAATGTGATTGTGAGAAAGTGCTGCAGTATTTCCAGCTGAAATTTACGGGAAACACTGTGTGTGTCCATGTAATGTGTGGTGATGTTTTTGCAACATGCAAGATGCAATATGGAAAATAATTAGTGGTGTTCACCTCTGTATATCGATGACTAAATTAGACTATGATTATTTACTATCATGACCTGAAAACACTGTTTTTGTAACACACGTCTGAGTATTCGTTCAATGGAAAACAATGGAATTCTCTAATACGCAAGTGCACTAGTTGTTTTGGTACAAATAATGTTTTTGTGAAATTATGAAAGCCCATAAATGTCGAAAAGAGTCAAGGCAGATTTTTATACGTCGAAAAAACTGTTAACATACAAGCTGCTCTCTGATTGGTCTGACTGGTGGTTGTTAGGGTTGGGTAGCCAATCAGACATCATCTTGTAAGTAGCTTCGCATTGGTTGCAGATGTTGACGAGACTACTTGCGGTTTTTAGTATCACGTCGTGGTATACTTTTGTCTGAGTACGTTGTGCAGCCTGATATTCCCGACTTCGTTGGCAATCGTCTCAAAATTGTCTCCAAATTTCTGTCCGTACCACACCGCGTCATTGTATGTAAATGTTTGTTTTCAAACACACTGCAGAATCCTGAAAAAAGTTGCATTCAAGATTTTGGCTCATTTGTTTGAATGACGGTGACCGCGTGCGTCAAGAAACCAGCTTCGAACGTGCCTACAAGTGCTGACGTAATGAAACGAAATATGACGTACATTGGAAACCCGCAAATGATCCAAAGGGGTTTCATGAACCGTCGCTCTTTCATTATCATGTTAAGAAAGGAACCGAGGGAAATTCGCCAAAAAAATTGCCGATTTTTAGAACAAAATCCATGTGAGCCAAAGAATAAAAAAATACATGCACAGACTCCTTGAATAATTTTGAGATGGAGATGTCCAAT